GCGTGTCCCAGATCCAACAGTATAGTACAGTATTCAAGAAGTGGTGCCACCCACCGCAAACACCTGGGGGGTAGTTGGCGGCGACCCGGCCATTCAAGTCCGACCTCACCTCGGTGGCGCCTGCGGATATTCGGTGCCCTCGCCACTCCACCCGCCGCGCGAGTTCTTGGTCCGCTCGCCGGAGTTCGTCGGGCCGCCGCGATGCAGCAGCAGCAGCAAGGTAAAGGCTGGATTCCACGGTTCCCAAGTTGCAATCTTTCGCCGTGTCCTGTGCGGTTCCTGCGGCTGATTTTGGATTTTGGTTACCAAGCGCCGGGCGGTTAGGTTTGGGTGCTGTGGGGTGGGAGTAGTAAATACTAGGTCTATGGATTTGGTTCCGGATCCTGTATATTGCTGCTTCATAGCTCATGTTCCTGATTCACCTAGCTGCTATGTTTCTTTCTTTTTTGTAAATACTTTCAAACCATGATCCTATCTACTACTCCTAGTAAATACTCTCTTTTTTTTTAGAAATATCGGAGTAGTAAATACTTTGGAACCATGATCCCTCCTGCTGTTATGTTCCTTTTGTTGTAAAGTGGTGATCCCCCAGCTTCGTTAATGAACTGGGAAATATAACCTTATTTGCAATGCGTTCCTAATGATCTGTTTTGTGAAAAGTTTGTTACATTTTTGTTCTTCCGATTTGGGTGCCGGATCCTATCTATGCTGCTTCATAACCCATGTTCCTGATTCACCCAGTGCTCTGAAAACCATGATCCCTCCTGCCTGCTGTTATGTTTCTTTTGTTGTTAAATGGTGACCCACCCTGCTTCGTTAATGAGCTGTCACGGGTTCACTTATTTGTGATGCGTTCTTAATGATGTCATTTATATCTTCGCTGGTTGGTGACGAGTTTGTTGCATTTTGTTCTTCCAATTCAGGTCTCGACATACAAAATCTGCAGCGGGAGGTGAAGACGCGATGGCTCAAGCCCAGAGAGGTTCTCGACATATTGCGGAACTGCGAGCTGTTCGGGATCCAAAACAGGACCCCTCAGAGGCCACCGAGTAATAAAACCATCCTTTTTTTTTCTTGCTTGCGAGATATCTGATTTAATCTAATGCGTGCCCTGGGTGAAATTACAGGTGGTTCTTGGTTCCTTTTCAACCGTAGGGTACATCGGTTCTTCCGGAATGATGGGTATCAATGGCAAAAAAAGAGGAATGGGAAGAGTGGTAACGAAGCACACGAGTACCTTAAGGTCTGTTCAATGTTTATCTTCTCTAGTCTAGTAATAGGAGTCCAAGTGTTAATCATAGTATTTTAGTAAGAGGAAGGAAATCCAATAAATAGTTGGTAAGCTTTGTTGCTATGACTCAATCAGATGAGCTGCATAGTTAATGTGCTTTCCTCGTTTGACCCTACAAATTTCAGGTTGACAATGTAAAGGCACTGAATTGCTACTATGCTCGTGCAGAAAATAACCCTACATTCATGAGGCGGATATATTGGATGCTTGAACCGTGAGTACTCTGGTTACTTGTAGGGGGAATATGTTATGCACTGTATTCTATGCTTCCCATAAGCTTTTCTTGTGTCTTGGATGTTTATGAATTGTGATTTCCTTAGAACACAAACCCAATAGCAACTTTGTATGTGTGCTCCTCATGGAGGATTTTTTGAATGGGAACTCAGGGAGGAATATATAAGCAGTCCATGGCCACGTGTCATTTTCTTTTCTTGCTTCTATGGTAAAGCCTGTTGCATTAATTCATATTCACAAGTTATTCTGTCTACGGTCGTTACTTTGAAGTTTCAGCATCCATCTGAGATGTTCCCAACAGATAGAAACCAACATTCACCAATTCCTTGCAGACATGTTAAAATTTGCAATGGTCTACTATGTTCTCCCATATTTTCTGATGATGTGAAACAGTGCAAGAGACTTTATTCCTAAGGGCAATCCTATATTTTTACTAGGAGTCTCCAAAATAGGCACAGCAATTCTTGTACTTGTAAGTTCCAGAAAATATTGGTATTATACCCTGTTATTACTATGACTTCTACTGTTGGGGTGTGGGTTATGATTTGCTGTTATTTTCCCCGTGAATAACAATTTTTTATTTGTAGATTTCAGTTCACATTTAATGGAAGCAATTCATCTTTGCAGGGCTTATGAGCACATTGTTCTTGTCCACTATAGAGATGTGCTAGAGGTTCGTCTCTTGTTTTATCTTCCTTTTGTCATAACATATCTGCAATTCTTCCTAAAAAAACACATCTGCAATTCTGATGCTTAACCAACTAGGACGAGTGAAAAAATAACGTTGGTTTACTTCCACAGTTATCTATTCACTTCAACAGTGGGCGATCTTTGAACATATCAGATTAATTGATCACTGGGGCAAAGCACCAGTGAAATTGAACTTGACATCGTGTAGAATTTCCATTGGTTAATTCACCTGTTAAGCTAGTGCACATTATTAATTAGTGGCTGAAGTCATTGCATTGTTTTTGGGGCTATCCTGTGCTTAACCTTTATTTGTTGATTGATTACCAGGGCAGCATTTCAGTATCAGCACTAAACGGTTCACCAACATCCTATCAGAATGGCAGTGCTAGCAGAGCGGATGCACATAGTTCACCGGGGTTGACAAGTGAGATAATTGCGCCACGTCTCCTCTGCGCAGCCCAGGATCCGCGGAAGAAGTTAGTTCCCAGATCCTGACCATAAACAATGAATCAAATGATACAAGTCAATTTGATTGGCGGCGGATGCTTGAAATGCAGTTGAGTCTGGAAAACAAGGAACGTCATGATGTTACTGGCGAGATTCTGCCAAATCATGATCCTAATCCTATTCCTGGGATCCAGAATGAAGAATTCGACACAGGTACAAACCTTGCAGATATCTTTTATGAACTGGAGGAGTTTAGTGAAGACAACCGTACTGAAGGAAGCCAACCTTATCGCGATCCTATTGATGTCATAAGAAATTCAGGTGCTCTAGTCTTGCGCTACCAAATACCATGCATTATGATTCTTTCATTGGTAATTACTGCCTGGGTTACCATGAGCAAACTTTCTGAAAAATTGCAATTTTCCATGTATGTCTCTCTTGATCGGAAGCATGGTTGGAAGAGGACCAGCTTAATTCTTTTCTGCATTCACCTCCTGTGACAGTTGATGAAAACCAATGGTTCCATATTTATGAGGTTTCTCCAGAATGGGCATTTTGTTCTGAAAGTGCTAAGGTATCCCCTGGAGCTGAAGTTGATATTCTTAATTCAACAAGTTGTTTTGTCAGTTAAATAATGCTACTTCGTTGTTCCGCTCTATTGATAAGATATGGAACCATTTGGGGATATTGGCACATGGGAGTGCCAATATCGGTATAATTATCGGAGTGTGCATGATCTCTGAGTTCATCTATTGCCTCGTTGGCAAAAATGTTGACCATTTAAGGAAATTCTGTGCCAGAACCATGAGTGGAAGCTTGCTATCCATGTGCCAGAACCATGAGTTGGCTGCGAGCTCTTATGGGTTTCACCTCTAGCCTACCCCAGCTTGTTTGGGACTAAAGGCTTTGTGGTTGTTGTTGTTGTTGTTGTTGTTGTTGTTGTTGTTGTTGTTGTATTTAAGGAAATTCTGTGTTGAAGTCAGTTTCTACCATGATCTCTTACAATAATTAATTGGAGGCTATAAATGGTATGCAGGTTGTCATTGCAGGAGACTTCCCCTCCAATATTTTATGGGTACTATTTGGTGATGTTAAGGTACCTGCGGAAATTGTCCAGCAAGGTGTCATCCGTTGTTATACTCCATCATACCTTGGTGCTGGAAAGGTGAGAATGTGCATGCTCGATGAGAATGGGAAACCTTGCACTGAAGCTCGAGAATTTGGATTTGTTGAAAAGCCTACCAACACAATGATTATTGGGAACGGGAAACCCTGCAGTGAAGCACGAGAATTTGAATTCCAACAGAGGCCTACCAAAAGTGACAATGAGCTGTTGTTGCTTCTTAACTATGTGCAGATGCTTTTTGATAGTCATGGCTGTGAACTCTTCTCAAAGTTCAGGTCGCCACTCCCAAATGTCCAGTCTGGATTCCCAGTTAACCCCTCAGAGATTATAGGGAGAACATGTGAGCAGTTGGACCATGAGAATGCAGTAAATTGCATCATGGAAGTGATGCTTAACAGTAAGTTCGAGGACTGGCTATCATCCAAATTTGAACAGAACAGTGAAGGGGTGTATTTGCTTCCTAAGCAATACCATGGTGTTATACATACAATTGCTGCACTGGGATACGACTGGGCTCTGAAACCGCTGCTTAATAATGGCGTGCCTATAAACTACCGTGATGCAAATGGATGGACCGCTCTGCATTGGGCTGCACGATTCGGAAGGTATTGATAGTCTATTCATTGCATGCAAAGATTTACTCAAACTATTTTCATAAGCTTTCCTATTCTTGCAACCAAATGCATATGTCCCATCTGTAATATAGGCAATTTATGTTCTGTTTCCTAGCTTCATCTCATATGAATTTCCTCCTGACTCTGAGCCTAATATGAAATGACAGGCAACAAATGGTAGCGGTTCTTGTTGCTGCAGGCGCTGCTGTAGGTGCACTTTCAGATCCAACAGCGGAAGACCCTGCTGCCAAGACACCTGCTTCGATAGCGTCTGCATATGGTTTCATAGGCATCTCTGCATTCCTTTCAGAAGCAGAACTAACCAGTACCTTTCATTCTCTGGAATCACAAGAAAATGGGAAACCCGTAGATCATAATGGTGGAGTGAGTACATCTAGTGCCGTGGATAGAGTATCAGATAAATGCGCACATATGGATGGTGGAACTGATGACCAGCTTGCACTGAAGGATTCTTTAGGAGCTATCCGAAATGCTGTTCAAGCTGCCGGGTGCATACAAGCTACCTTCCGTGTGTTTTCCTTAAAAAAGAAGAAACAAAAGGCTCTTCAGAATGGAGATAGCTCTGCTTCGCCATCTATGCTCGAAAGAGCTGCATTATCTATCCAGAAGAACTTCAGGTGCTGGAAGAAACGTAAGGAATATCAGAAAGTTCGGAAAAATGTCATCAAGATTCAGGTAAGTTCAGTTCCGTGTATCATGCACAGATTAATTAGATGTGTACTAGTGCATCCTTGATGTTTTGAGGATTTTGTTCAGTCGATAAGCATGTCCACCTGTATATTCTGATAGGCACGGTTCAGAGCTCACCGAGAAAGAAACAAGTACAAGGAGTTACTTCAAAGTGTTGGCATCCTTGAGAAGATCATGCTGAGGTGGTTCCGAAAAGGCGTTGGTCTGCGAGGAATCAATAGCAGGGCGATGCCAATCGACCAAGACGAGGAAGAAGACATTGTCAAGGTTTTCCGCAAGGAAAGAGTGGAGACAGCTGTCAGTGAGGCTGTTTCGAGGGTATCGGCTATCGTCGGTTGCCCTGTCGCAAGGCTGGACTACCGCAGGATGCTCGAAATGCACCAACAAGCAAAGGTGAGGCCATGATCCGTGGTGTCTACTGAATGCGTTTCAGTCAAAAACTTGCTCAAGGAAGTAACAGATTAACGAGCGAAAAACTCGCTCCATATGTCTACTGTCTAGCACTTTGTGCATGAAATTTGCAACTTATTTATTCTCTTGAACTTACTAAAATGGTTTTTCTCATCACAGATTGGCCATGGAAAGTAGCTGATCTGGCACCAGCTATGTTGATGACAGAGCACTGGGCAGCCACTATCCTGTGTCCTCCTCCCCTGTTAAATGATGACCTGGAAAGCAGCTGGCAGCCTGAAGAGCAGTAAAAGCCTTGGTGACTAGTGGATCCTGCCAAATCAGAAGGATTTACCAACAAGTTTCAGTACCATCACCAATCCATGATGAAATTGATGTTTCACTTCACTGTACATAAAAAACCCAATGTGCATATCCTGACTTCTGGCCAAACTTTAGGAAGGTGTAAGGTCTGTGTGTATGATGAGGAAGTACCATCTGCTTTGTAGTACGTAGTACCATCCTTCACATTTGCTAGGCGTGTACATGGTAATAAATGTGATGGTAATCCTGGACCGCAGCTGAATTGTCAATGAGGAGTATGATGAAGCTCTGGAAGCTTAAATACCAGCTGCCTTGTGTGTAGTACCCCTTCTGGTTATTTTTACTCCACATATAAGATTTGTCTGAAGTTGAACTTCGTAAAGTTTGACCATGTTTTTGCGTCATGAATTTAATTTTCATGTTGTATAACTTCAGTATGGTATATGTTGATATTTTTTCATATAAACAGGGTCAAACTTTGCAAAGTTTGACTTTAGATAGATCTTATATGCGGAGTAAAAATGGCCGGAGTACCACCTTTCACAATTGCTAGGCGTGTACATTGTACATGTAGGGATGTCAACCGGGTCCCATTTAAAGTCCACTTATGATATGATAGTTCAAAAAGGTTTTTTGTTTGTTTGAGGAAAATGAACTATCAAGTTAGCAAAAACTAACTAAACAGGATTGCGGACGCCATTTATTTGCCACTTATATCCCTATGTACATGGCAATAAATATGATGATAAATCTGAAACGGGGCTCAATTGTCAATGAGGAGCACGATGAAGCTTTTGAAGTTTGTATGTACTCCCACCATTTATATTTGTCACTACTAGACCTGTAAATGGTAATAAATGTATGGCAAATCCTGAAACCGGGAACGGGTGTAAATGACTAGTGCTAGTACCATCTTGTGCACATGCAAAGCATAATTGGTCATTGGCCAAATTCACACTTCTTTGATTGTCATCATTCTGCTGAAAATAAATTCAACCAAAGCACAAGATAACATGACCTTGATGCAGGCCTGCAAAGGCAGAGGCAGTAATAAACTAATAATGCTCCGGCAGCATTTTGGCCTTCCCCTTTGGCCCTTCTATTTTGCAGGTAGCAACAAATCAGATTCCATGGGATCCTTTTCTTTTCTTTTGCTTTTCTTTTTTTGCGAGGAGATTCCATGAGATCCTATTTGAAATGAGAAAAGAAAACCCGTTCCCGTGTTCCAAGCAGAGACCCCTAGATATCGACACGATCGTAGTTTTTTCTTTCTTTCTGATGGAAGGTGGTTGAATCCGCCCATTTCATTATATATTTTAAAAAAAGAACTTGTTTGTGTGGGAAACGAACCGACTCCTGCAAAATTCGTTTTTCAAGAAAAAAAAACCTAGATATCGACACAATCATAGTTTTTCTCTTTCTGATGATGATGAAAGGTGGTTGAATCCGCCGGTTTCATTGACAAAGGCACCAACACAACCATAGATAAAAGAGATTATATACGTCAATGGAGACTGGTAAGCACCCGGGACAAGCACAAGGGCAACGGTGGGGCAAGTAAACACAGGATTACACCATTGCAACCACCATGATTATTTTAGCTGCCATGGCAAGAAAGTGCGTCAGTTTGGAGACCTTGGACATAATGCAGCAGTTAGGTGCCATGATAGTGCCCCGGACCACGTACTAAACAAGGGTTTTAGCAGTGGGTGACATCAGGCAAAAGCCGTTTTCATCGGACGGAGACGCCACAAAAGCCACACCACCAACAGGCAGCGTTCAGTAGGATAAGCATGTATATGAGCTGGGAAGGAGAAGAGCAAGAGAAGAGAACCCAACCAACAGCAGTGGAGACTTCAGGAGGTTGAGGACTCTGATAGGGACAGGGACAGGAAAGAAGAAGAACACACGAGCTGAGAGATCAAGAGAAGGACAGAAAAGAAAAGCTTCAGCTTTGAATGTGTGGTGACTTACAGCTTGGGACACACCGCGCAAAAAAAACACATTCAAATGCACAAAACGGAAATTCCTGCACAAACCACCAGCACCTAATTATGTACACCCATACAATTCCCGGGGAAGAAAAAAAGGAAGGAAAATTTTCGCTCTCCCTACATTTTACATTTACATTACAAAGGCGGAGGACGTCGGTCGAGCCGAAACCTGCGGTTAGCGTATGCGGTTGGCGGCCTTTTTTCACGCAAACCGTCTCCGAGAAGTTGTTGAACAAAATGCTGCACGTGCATCTCGACTCCAAGAGCTTTACAGCTTTTTTCTTTACCTCTTGGTGGGATGGTGTACCAAGAAACAGAGCCTGGGTGGCTCCATCTCCATGTTTTTAAGCTCATACCTGGAAGAACAAGAAAAATCATGACACTAGACCTGGAGGATTCCATGGGTATATAATATAGCGAGCTCGGAGATCTCAAAATCAGAGCTTGTTTTAAGAAATTGTAATAGTAGTTCTTTAGAACCAAACCACCACAAACAAACTTCAGCAAAAAGGCCTGCTAACTAAGAATGCTTTAAGCTTTATAGACCTTATATAAATGCATATCACATTTTTCTTTTGCCTACCAGCACTAGTTTGATTCTTCAATAAGAAAGAAACATGGATGCGGATAGGAGGTTGCAGAGGAGCTTACTCTTGGGAGCACTGCGGCTTCAACAAACTCCTCCACGCCATGCCATGAGCTGTGTGGCGACATCCTCCACTAATTTACACTCCATATAGACCTACCTACTGAACATGGTCATGATTTTGGAAAAATCGAGTTACTTCTCTGTACAACTGCTCCCCTTCGAATGGCTTGGAGACATAGCCATCCATTTCACATTTCAAGCAGTGCTCATATGTTGCCTGGATGACGTCTGCTGTCATTGCCAATATCGGAGTTCGCCACCTCCGAACGTTAGCACATTCTGGTGGCGCTTCCCCGCGTTCTATCCGCTCATTTAGCTCTCTTTCCATCATTCTGATCCTCTTGGTGGCTTCAAACCTGAAAAAAATGCATGATAAGAACTTCACTAACTTATGACTGACAGATTAATAATCGAAGGAAATGGTGAGCAGCCACCTAAAAGACCTACCCATCCATTTCTGGCATTTGTATGTCCATGAAACAAGCATCAAAACTGTGAGGTGGTTTTAGCAATGCGATTGCTTTCTTCCCACTGTCTGCGCAAATTACTTCTGCGCCGTACTTCTTGAGAGCACCAGCAGCCACTTTAAGGTTCACAGCGTTGTCGTCAACCACAATGATTTGCCTCTTGTGAAGAAGGCTACCCAAAGCTGAGTTGCCAACCAGTCCATTCTTGACATGCGCCTTATCTACTCCACCCAAAGCCCGCCTTAGTGAGGCCTCAAGCATACTTGCACGAAGCGGCTTCATGATTACATTCAAGTTATGCTCCCTGGATATATTTGAACTGCTCTTGATAGAATTCGTAGGGTTCTCCAAAAGAAAGAGCTTCGGAGGGTCCGCCTGATCTTTGCTCCGCAATTTGCTAAGCAATTGAGGCATTGAATGGGATTCCTTGAGCCAGGTCTCCTTGTCAACTAGCACTAGCCTTGTAACTAGTGATGCACAGTTCATCTTAGGAATAACCTGGCTTACGTCAGTGGTCAATTCCGTTTTGACTCCAAGCCTTTGTAAATGGTACTTGGTAACCTTGGCACGAACCGGCCTATGATCAACCACCAATGCACTGACCCCTTTAAACCCCGGCGATTTGTTCACATTTGCATTGGGGTGTGCCCTCGTAAGCACTGCAGTGAATGAGAAAGTAGAACCAACATGGTGTTTGCTTACAAACCCAATCTCCCCCTTCATCAGATGAACCAGGCACTTGCTGATGCTCAATCCGATGCCAGTGCCCCCATGGATGCGGGCAATGGACGGACCAACCTGCATGAAAGGCGTGAATATGCGGGATTGGGCTTCAAGCGGGATGCCGACACCAGTATCTTCAACTGATATTATCAATCTTATTGTTTCAGGCATGATGGGAGCAAAGGACAACTCAGACGAGTGTAGATCCATATTGGTAAGTCGGAAGCTCTGCCAGCTATGCCTTCTTTTAGCTACTTCGTAGCCACTTAAGGTGTTGTATGAGTTTTGAATTTCGGTTTCCACCTCTTCAACAATATGAACTGTCAAGTAGATATGTCCTCTTTCTGTAAACTGTGATAAAACATAAATGTTCAGCTAGCAAGTAACAGAGCAGCACATATAAATCGTAAACATTTATAATAAAATGCTTCGAATTCCTATTTGTGCTATTCACGTATATTAATTATCTTACTTTTATGGAGTTTCCCATGAGATTTGTAATGATCTGCCTCATTCTATTCGGATCGCCAATAAGTGTTTGTGGAACTTGATCAGATACATACACTGCCAACTGCGCACGTCGTATGTAAAGACAAAACCATGAAAAATGAAAATGGTTAGTGCATGCATTCAACAAAATACACCGAAACTGCACTGGAAGAATCCACTCAAGAAAATTACCTCCAGCCCTTTCTCCTGAGCTTTTCCACAGAAGAGAGACAAGATTTCATCACAGACTAGTCTAACATCAAAGGGCACTGCATCAAGCTCGAGTTTGCCAGATTCTATCTTCGCCTGATCAAGAACCTCATTTATGAGGGACACTAAAGCTTTTCCACTAGCTTGGGCTGTTCTAACATAGTCTTGCTGCGTTGTGTCCAGATCAGTATCCATGAGCATTTGGAGCATTCCTGAAAAAAGTAGTAATTGTTTAAGTCCCTTCAGTCAAAAAATGATGGAGATTGGAGAATACATTATGGGTTACATCAATTACACACTCACCTAAAACCCCATTCATTGGAGTTCTGATCTCATGTGAAA